CCCCAAAACCCCAAAACCCCAAAACCCCAGAGCATATAAATAAGAATAAAAAAAGATATTTTAGATTTATGTCTATTAAATTAATATTAGATGCCAACATGATAATTAATGCATTATCTTGTCTGTAGGTATATACTATCTAAATTAACTAACTGATTATAGAGCTCTCAGTCTTATCCACAAGATAATAATGACTCATTGTTTATGCTGGAGTCGTAGTTAATGGACTGGAAAGATCTGACGTTTTTACCCTTTTCCTTAACAATCACATAAGACTTCATATTATTCATATTCAAAAGTGTTCTCATCTAATTAGAATACTTTAAGGCCTCAATCGATTCCTGTCTCTCGTTATGAGGCATATAATCAAGGCAGCAATCATTACCCCATCCACATCTCTCACAAGGCTTCAAGTACTTTCTCATTCTTTTATGATCTGGGATTCCTAAAACCAAAACATCAAAGAAAAAGCTTATTTTTTCAGCCAAAATGTAAATGTAATGCGCCATTAAAACTCCTGTTATCATGTCTATTACATAATGAGTTCTAATGAGGCACATCAACATCCACTGATTAACAAGAGTGAACAAGCAATAGTAAGAAAGTTTGAAGTACTTTGCTGATCGGTACTCTCTAAATAGCAAAAAGCAAGTGCCAACATGACCTGAATAGAAAAAGTCATTTGTATCATGATATGGGATTGTTATAGAATGTACTCCAGGATGCTCAAATATGAATCCATCGAGCCTTGTCATGAAGAAAACCCTCTAAAATATATTATAAAAACTCAAATTAATTTTAAGAGATAATATACCTAAAGTAGCGCTCTTGTTGAAAAAAATATAATGTAAGCAATGATGATTCGATAAGATTTCCAGTATCTAAAAAAGTAGTAAACAACGAAAGACACTAGCATGAAATCCATTAGAGTTGAAGCAAATATGATGTATCTCTTCTTAATATCTGTGTTATCTCTTAAAAAATTATTATATTCTTGTGTCCACTAGAATGACTTGTCCTATATGCAAACTCCTTCTGGCAGTACATTATCAGAGTCTTTTTCAAACATAAAGACAGATAGTAAAACCAAGAACAATGCTGAAAATGTGACTCTTCCAATTCTTTGAGACTTTTCTGATACCTCTTCCATTATAAAATAAATCTACTTAACAAACAATTTTCTGATAAATAAATGATTTATTAATTTAAACCTTATTCTTATAAAAATGTACTTCAAGGGGTTTTGGGGTTTTGGGGTTTTGGGG